AAGAACACCCAAATAAGTTAAACAATCATCAAAAATTGTAGACAATGCTCCAATCTCATCTTCTGAAAAAAAGTATACTGAGTTATAGGTATGGGAGGGAAGTCCTACTGTATTGTCTAACTGTTACAGCATCTATTACCTTTGTAAATTTTTTTTGGCTGTACTAGGGTTTGAACTCAGGATCTCATACTTGCTAGGCAGGCACTCTTACCACTTTACCCATTCCACCAGCCCTTTTTTCTGTTGGATTATTTTGATATAGGATCTTGGGAACTATCGAGGTTAGCTTTGAACCTCAATCCTCCTGATCTCTGCCTCCTGAGTAACTAGAATTATTACAGGCATGAGCCACCAGCTCATGGCTAACTTTGTAATTTTTAAAATCCTATTTTTCAGTTTTCACTCAGTTTCTGATAACCATCTAACATATGTATGTTAGTAGTTAAAAAAATATGGTTCTAGAATAAAGGGTCAAAAATACAAAAAGTGGACTGGAATGTCCTGGATGCCATCCCCAGAATGGTTAAGAAAAAAGGTGGGGAGGAAATGGGCTCAAGTGGTAGGGTGCCTGCTTTGCAAGTACAAAGCTCTGAGTTCAAATACCAATCACACCAAAAAAGAAAAGGAAAAAAGTGAAAATTCACTTAGCACTGATAGTGAAACTAAAAAGAATTTGCTGCCAGTATACCTAATTAGTGACAATATATTTCTGACAAAATATTACTAACTGAAGGAAGTTGAGATGGGGAACACACAAGTAAAAAAAAAAAATACTGGAATAAAAAATGGTCAGCTATGTAGAAAAAGAATAATAAAGAAAAACTAGCTGTACATGGTGGTCTATGTCTGTAACTTCACCACTTGAAAGTCTGAAGCAGAAGGATCATGAGGTGGAGGCCAGCCCAGGGTTCAAAGGAGAGACCTTGTCTCAAAAACACACAAAAAGAAAAGAAAAGAAAAATAGTACTGCTTAAATTCTCCAATTTTAATGTTTCCAAATGATACACTGCAAAACATGTTTGATGGTTCATATGCAGACAATTAAAATTTTGTCAAAGACAACAGAATCACACAGAATCAGATTGGTGGAGTGGCTCAAGTGGTAGAGCACCTGCCTATCAAGTATGAGGCCCTAGTTCAAACCCTGGTACAGCCAAAACAACAACAAAAAAAACAGGACAACAGAATCATAAAACACTGAAAAACAGTATAAAATTTACAACTAAGGTACAATTTCACTAATACAAAGGCAATGCACACAATATGAGTGAAAGAATGAAATTAACCGGGAGCCAGTAGTCCACTGTAATAATCCTAGCTACTCAGGAGGCACAATCAGGAGGATCAGGGTGCAAGCCAGCTCTGGGAAATAGTTCTGTGAGACCCTATCTCGAAAAACCCTTCACAAAAATAGGGCTGATTGAGTGGCTGGAAGTGAAGGCCCTAATTCAAGCCCCAATACCCCCCCACACACAAAATTAATTTATATTCACAACAGACAGCAAAATAATTATCAGAGCAGACTACAATAGAAAAGACAGGGTAATCCAAGCAAAATAATTTGTATTCCATCAATTCTCATTAGTTTTAGGAATCTCTAAAATGATTTATCTCCATGTTCTTATTAAAAGGACTTCTCCATTACCACATAGGGATAAAAAGGCTAGATCTTCAAGAAATCTCATTTTAACTGTTAATTACAAATACTCAGCCATCACCACTACTGTTTGAAAGTTTCAGATTTCAGAGCATTCCAGCTTTGGGATTAGGGATGTTCATCTGGTAAAGCTATCCAAATATTCCAAAATCAAAACCCCCTGAAAGCTGAACACTTCTGATCCCAAACATTTCAGACAAAGAGACATTAAACCTTTATAAGCATCAAAACACATAACCAAAAATTCACTCCTTGCAAATTACTTGCATGCAACTTCATCTCCTTCGGTGGCTATTTCAGTATTTGGAGAAAATGACAAAATGAAGACTACTAAGAAGAAATCACTTTTTTAAACTGCAAACAAAAACAAGAAACCAAAACAAAATGGCATATAGAAAAGGAGAAAAAAATCTTGAAAAATAAACTTTTAGCTCTGAAATGTTATACATTGCAAATCTTACTTCTTATAAAAAGAGTATTTATTCTCTGTAGTGGGCTGCAGTTCTCTTTACCACAAGCTATGCTTTCAGAGGACATGCCAGCAGGAGGCCCCAGCTTCTCTCCATAATAGGATGCTTGCTCCCCATTTCCTCAGGAGGCTGACCCCTTAGCTGGCTCACACTGGACAGGTCCACACCCTTCTGAATTAAGTGCTATACCGTTTTTCAACTGGCAGCCCATTTTAATAGTGCAACTTTCCAATATTCCTGATGGTCTTTGTTTAAAGTGACTTTAACAATCACAACAACAGTACTGTACCTTTTCAGAGCAGAGACCTCCAATTTGTTGTGGTAGACCATAGAGAGAGTGAACACTTCACAAACAAGATCTAAGAACCATAGTGGCATAAATGAAGATGGAAATTATGGATTAAGCCTCATCTTTCCTCAGGTCCCAAAGATAAGGAGGCAAGTTTGAAGTTCAAAAGTTATTTAACTGACCAAGCATTAAAAAAATGGAAAAGCTGTCCCACAAAAATAAAGGAATATATTTATATTATGCTTTCAAATTTAACAAGTAACCATTTAAGTGCTTTGAGATAGGCAGGGTATTAGCTTCATTTACAGAAAAGGAAACTGATACTTAGAACCTAGGGAGGTCAAGGTTCCTCAGCTATAGTTCTAGGAAAAGGGATTTGAAATTCGGCTACCTGCCTTTAGCAGTAACTCCGTTACTTAACCTAGTTAAGAACAATTGCTTTGGATGTGTAAAGAATGAATAATACAAAAAAAATTAACTTTAAAAACCCAATTTCTAGCTTATTTGAAACTGTTGGGAGGAGTAAAAAGCAAAAGAATATAATAGGACAATAATAGAAAGTTCAAGAGTCATTCCTAACCTACTCAGGCTTCAACATAGGATACATACCTACAAATTAGAAGATTTAAATAAGGAGAGGCAAAAAAACCGTATTTTATGTCATGGGCTCTGGAAGAAGAATCAATTTGTTTGATCAGCTATTAAATATCTACCAGTGAAGAGTGACTAGGTCATGTTTGTCAATTATATTATATTGCATTTAAATTCAGAAGCAATCCTTAAATTTATGTCTTTCAAAATAAGCATTTAAAGAGGGTTATCTGCCATCTTCACACCCACCCAACATAAAATGTTAGGAAGAAGTCTTTTAAGTCTTTTACTTAAATAATTTTTAATCATTATCATAGGTAATAAGCAATAACTCTGCAGGACTAAGAAGCTGTTAAGAATCTAAAGACACTGAGTTATTTATAAATTTTCATTAACTGATACTGAAATTTTGATTTTTTAATCTCTCGTACATTAAACATGGATATAAATTTCATGGTGCCAACACTTTCCTCAAACCATAAATTGCCTAGACAATTTAACTACTCAGCAACTAAGTCAACATTTAGTTAAATCGATCAGTCTAGTTGACTATTAAATTATCAAATGATTCTTCACTTGCTGCTTCAGAGTTCTAGTTCACTCATCTTGATGCTTTTTCACGGAACTTTCAACAACCTGAACCATGACAGATCTGCGACAGTAGGTGATCCATTTAAAGGCCCCTGTCTTCCCTACAATTCTTAATTTTTCACAATTAAACAAGTTATAGACGTTAGATTATAGCACAAGGACACACATGACTAACCCTATTTAAGAAAAAGTCAGTGTAATATCGCCAAAGAAACAATACATAATTCAATTCTAAGGTTCCAAACTGATCAAACTTTCTACTTTTTTTAGGACCAGGAATCTTGGTTATCAAAAGGACCACTGGATTTGGCAAGGTCAAATGTTTACTTAGAAACTTTGGTTCACATGCCTAGGGCTATTTAACTGCCAAATATGGAGCTGGACAAGGAATTACCATCATCTTCCACTCTAGTGTAGTGGACTCTCTTAAGCGCAGTTAATGGTTTCCTAGATCCAGGTACTTGCAATATTAACGTATGGAAGACTAGCACGAGGTGTGGTGCCTTGAACTCCCAATCAGTTTCTTAACCTAACTTCATAGCACAACAATCATGGGGGGAAAGATGGAAACAACTTTCCTGTTCGGTGCACGTGTTTTGTTTTGTTTTTAAAGAGGTCGAAAGCACCAACCTCCCCAAAACTCGCGGTAAATATTAGTTGTACCTTGGGGGAAAAAAACCTGATCTATGCGGAAAATTGTTGGAGCAAATCTATATTCACCCCAAAGCAGCATAGGGCCATCTTTTAAAATTTGCTTTTAGAGAAGCAGGAAAGATTTAGTCGGATTCGTCTAACAAAATCTACACAATCGGGATTTCCCCAAAAGAAAAGAAATGGGGGAAGAGAGAGAAACCCACTCCTCAAACCTTTTCGGTGAACAGATCTTCTGCATAAAAAAAGGATGGAGGAAGCGCACGTTATAACCCCAGCGTGCGAACGCGTTCCGGATAAACCTTGGGGAGGGGTCAAAGACACCGACCGCCGAGCACCGGCCAAGAGCAGCGGCGGCCGCCTTCAAACCCGGATTCGGTTTCCGAGCACAGAAATGGTGCCCGGAGGCCGCTACTTTCGCATCTGCGTCGCTTCTGCCTCCGCCGACACAGCCTCTTTTCCCCTCCCCCACGGGCGGGGCGGCGATCGCGTCCCCGCACGGAAGCCACCGGGTATAAGAACCGCAAGTGAGTTGGAGGCAATGCTGCTGAGCTCCCCACCTTCAAACACCCTCTCGAGAAAGCCCACTCCCCCCCGTCCCGGAGAAGCCTCCCTGCCTCGGCGCGCCTCCGGGAGCTCCTGCGTCCCTCTTCCCACCTCGCCACCTCGTCCCCACCAGACCTTCGCCTCACCTGTGCCCTCGGAACCCTTGGTGGGCACCACGCGCGCTGAGTCGCCTCCCACCCCTCACCTTGGAGGAAACGCTCGCCTCTCTCACGCACACACGCAGCGTAGGCAGACGGCAAGAACAATGTGTCTCTCTGCGGCAACACCTCCGACACCGGGGCTCACGCACTGGACGGTGGCCGCGCGCCGCGGAGCGCGAACGGAATGTCCCCTTCTGACCACCACATCGACCTCCCCTCCCGGCCCCCGTACACACCTCCAACCAACAGCGGCGGCGGATACGTCGCGCGGAGGTCAGCAGGGGAGACGCCGAGAACCGGCTGCAGCGGGTTCTTCTTGCGCGCCGCCTCTTCCCTCCGACAAACCCGAAGCCTCGGAAGCCGGAGAGCCGCGAGCTCGCTTGCCTTACAACCACCTCTTCCCGGGCGCCAAGCGCTGCGGCGAGCGACAAGGAACACGGACGTCCCGCCCCCTTTGCCACCGCCCCCTCTTATTGTTTTACCCCTGCCGAAAGGGCGAGGGAACCCCCCAGCACAGCGATAGCCAATCACGCATCTCCTTCGCGAGCCAGAACCAACCTTCTCGCGTCCCTCAGTGGAGCACGCGCAGTACGCCGCCCGCTCGCGTACACTCGCGCCCGGAAAGCCGGGGAACCGGAACCGGCCTAAAGCCGGGTCGGGAGTCCGCTGATTTGACGTCACAAGAAGGCTGCTTTTCTGCCCGAGGCTTGAGCCGCGCCGCCTTTCTTCCAGGTGGCGCGAACTAGAGCCAGTTTGCAGCGGCGCTGTGTCTTTTGCAGACTGATATTCCCTGCTCCCTTAATTCACGTTATGAGGGAGGGAATTTAGTAATCTCTCTGAATTAGGTCTTTGCAGGTTGCTGCCCTAGACGAGCATTAAAATGCAGCCCGTGGCTTCAGCTAGTTGCACACTAAACTCACCTGTATTTATTAACCCATTTTGGGAATGTTGATTTTTAAGCCCCACCAAAAAGGTGGCAGTCATCCTAACAGTTAAAAGCAATACATTTTAAGGGCCTACTGGGTGCTAGTCACAGTATATTGGAAAAATACATGTGCTCTACAGAGGGAAGAGACTATTTCCTGTGGTCTTTATGTATTAAACATAAGTACATATTAAGCATTTCACATACTAAGGCTTGAAATACCAAGAAATGTCAGGATTCCAGTCTTGACCCAGATCTAGGCCCAGACTTGCCTCTTGGACTTAGCTATGGACAACACTGACTCCTGACCTTGATTCATGGACAAAGTCAAATTTTGTAGTCAAGATGCTACTTTGCCCTTAGAGTGTGGCAATGTTTTCAGAGAAAATAGCAGAAGAATTTTGGAATGAAAGGCTGAAGAGATGGTGAAAGAAATGGAAGAGCAATTAAGGAAAAAACATTTATTAATACCCATGAATGTGAACGAAACACGATGCTTTTTATCAGTTTTCTTCACAATCCTAGAAGAGCAATTTTAACAGTTTACAAACAAAAACAGGTTCATAAAGACAATGCAAACATTTGGGCCTCCAAAATCTATAACAGCTTTACCTTAGATTGTTTAATAATTTTGTTATATGCAAACTATGTGGACAGACCATCACTTTTATGAAATGAAACTCAGATGCTTTTCCTTAAAGCACAATACATGTGGCTTGCCTTTCAAATATAAAACTTACATAACCAGGCACTCTTCTAACTAGTTTATTGGAATTACTTTCAGTCTCACAATAACCTGATGAAGTATTTACAACATTAATTCCCACTTTGCAGAGAAGAAACCTGGGTTTAGAAGGTCAAGTAACTCACCCAAGGCCACAGTGATTACTCATTTCAAACACAAGCAGTCAGCCTCTACAGTAGAGCCCATGCCCTTGATTACAAGCTATATAGAATATTGCCATTGTATTAATTGTTACAATTTACTTCTGCTAACATTTCAATTGTTTCCAATTGGAGGCTCTCCTGTGCCATGTTGTTGTAAATATCCTTCACTATGTATCCTGGTGCACAGATGCAAAAGTTTCTCTAGAACAGTGCTTCTCAGAACTTAATATAGGCCAGAATCCCTTGAAGGGCTTGTTAAACCAAGCAACCCAGCATTTCTGAATCCTCAGTCTGTGCTGAGGCCTGAGAATTTGCATTTCTCACACGTTCCTAGGTGATGTTGCTGCTACTGCTGTAGGAATCACACTGAGAACCAGGCGCTGGTGGCTCAAGCCTGTAATCCTAGCTACTCAGGAGGCAGAGATTAGAAGCCAGGCCAAGCAAACAGTTTGTGAGACCCTATCTCTAAAACAATATCTCTAACACAGTAAAGGACGGTGGAGTGGCTCAAGTGGTAGAGCACCTGTCTAGCAAGCATGAGGCCCTTCTTGAGTTAAAACCCTAGTGCCACCAAAAACCAAAAACAAACAAAAAATGTAAGCAACATCCCTAGCTTAGCTCTAGGGCTATACAAAAAGCAGTCTCAGGCAACTCCTGCTGCAGGGTGTACACCAATAACTGGTTATGGATTCAGCTATCATCAATTTTAGTAAACAACTCTAACCTATTTTCCTAAGTGGCAATTTTTACCTCCTCCACATCTCTCAAGCCTGTGCCCTCTGAATACCTCTCCATACTGATAGCCTCTGTCCAGGTTCAGGCCCTTTTTATCTTTACAGGATGGGAGCAGTAGCCACCTAACTAAATCTCCCTGCCTTTCAAGATAACCCCCGTGAAGCAACCCCTGTTCCCATAGACTAGGCAGGGAGACCAGTGTGAATGACATTCACTCAGTTGCTCAAGCTGAAAAACTTCAAGTCACCCTGGACTCTTTTCCTCATACCATACAACCAATGTCAATAAAAATTCTGTTCCCTTTACCTTCATTTCCACTAGATTAAACACTTCACTATTATTGCTACTATAGTAGTTCAAGTCACCATTGCCTATTACAACTTTTAATTTTTAATTTTTTTTTCTGTACTGGGTCTTGAACTCAGGGCCTTCACCTTGAGCCACTCCACCAGCCCTATTTTTGTGAAGGGTTTGTTGAGATAGGGTCTCTCGAACTCTTTCCCCAGGCTGGCTTCGAACCTCAATCCTCCTGGTTTCAGCCTCCTGAGTAGCTAGGATTATAGGTGTGAGACCCCGGCACCCAGCCTCATTTTAATTTTTTTAAAGAGAGCATCTTGCTATGTAGCCCAGGCTGGTCTTAAACTCACAAATCATCCTGCCCGGCCTCCTGAGTGCTGGGATTACAGGCAGGTACCACCACACCTAGCAAAACAGTTTTCTACTTGGTAGAAATCCTTCCACATTTATTCCATTATAGCCTATTCTCCTCACAACAGCTAGATCCTTTATAACTATAAATCACATGACATTCCCATAACTTTCCACAGGCAACACAAAATCTCAAATTTTTACCATGGCCTACCAGGATACCTAATCTAATCCTTGCCTATTATTTCCACATCTCTTCTTACCATTATTTGTCTCCTACAATCCTAACTCCTCCTTTAACATTCTGATTACATTCCCACCCCAAGGTCTTAGATGAAAACTTCTGTCAAAGTTATATAAAAAATCAAAGAAGATTGTATCTACTGATATCCCCCACTATAACTGAAATAACTCTAGCTTCCTAAATGAGTTAACTATGATTTTTTCTTATGCAAATCACCCTCCTTAGAATTTCAACTAGCCAAATACTGCTTAAGTGATCTATTAGCTTGTCTAAGCTATATTCAGTGATTATTTTGTATGGTTTATAGTTCCTAGATTCTCTTGTATATTTTTATTTTGGTCATACCAGGATTTGAACTCAGGGCTTTGTGCTTGCTAGGCAGGTGCTTCACTACTTGAGCCATCCACCTGTCTTGTGTATTTTTAAATAAATATAAGTCAAGTGGCATGCTATACATTGTCTGGTAGAGTGTCTACTTAGTAATAGTTTAGAGGATTTTTTTAAAACTACTGGATTCATTTATTCAGTAGCCACCAATGAATGCCAACGTATCAAGCAGAATATAAGATTCAGGATGGGACAAAAATAATTCAAATATAGTGTCTTCAGGGATTTGGGAAAGACAGAGAAGGAGTGTGAGAGAAGAAAAACAAAAAACCAAAGAGAAGGAAAAAGGGAGAGTCAAAGAAAGGCAACAGGAAAACAATTAAAATAGAGGGTATTGCTAAGTGGTATTACACTAGAGACACTGAATAGCACAGCACTTTGTACCTGTTTTGAGTTTATGATTTAATATCTGTTATCACCACACACACAGCTCTAAATCTGTGAGGATTCATTCCATGAGGAAATGGAAGGTGAAAAGTTCCATAAGGGAAGAACTCTCTCTTTGGTCTCTTAGATCCAGCACCTGCTACTGTCCTATCAAAAATGCCCCATAAACTTGTGACCACAGTGGGATCACAGAAGAAAGCAATCTTTCTCTTGACTTCCAGTAGTTTTTTTATGGTTTTGTCTTAACTTCTAAAACAGTATAAGATTTGTTTATTTTTAGTCTTTCTTGATTAGTAGTATTTCTAAGGCTGTGGCTTTTCCCTTGCCAGTATTTTAGGCCATATGCCATAAGTTTTATTCATATTGTTGATTTTAGAATAAATTGGAAATGCAGACTAGACTTCTTTGATTCAGTTAGTACTTAAAAGAGAGATGGGGTTAGGGATATAGCTCAGTGGTAAAGAGCTAACGAAGAATAGCTAAATAATTTGTATTTTTAAATTTAAACTTCCTCTTTTTGCCCGTTAATTTTAGTGCACTATGGTCTGTGAGTACAGCCTAATTTTGGCACCTTATAGAATTTGCTGAAAATGTTTTATGACCTAATATAGGTACATTTCTTAAAAATTTTAATTCTTTATTGGCAGTACTGGGGTTTGAACTCAGGGCTTTGTGTTTGTGAGGCAGGCGCTCTACTACTTGAGCCATGCCTCCAGCTATAGGTACAATTTTTATAAGTTGTCTATAAATTCAGCTCTAGTCTATTGAAATCACCTTCACAAAGGTTGCCTATTTTCTGTCATATGTAGAATCTTGACCTAAAAGATATGTACAGACACATACACATGCACATAAAACATGACTGTAATTGTGAGACTCTGGGAGGACAAAGAGAGAGGAGAAAAGAAAAGAGAATAATGGGGGGAGTGAATAATATTAAAACACATTGTGTCTATGTATGAAGATGGCATAAAGAAACCCACTGAAAGCTGTTGAAAAGCAGAGGAGACAGGGAAAAAGGAAAGTAATAGGGTTAATCTGTTCAAAGTACAATATATGCATATGTGAAAGATCATGGCAAAACCCTTATGTACAATTAATATATACTAATAAAAATGTTCTGCTGTCTTTTATTTTTTCTTTTCCTAATGATGTGCCTTATATATTCTTAACTTTTTATTTTGAAACAGTCCTTTCCATAGATCCTGAAAGTTTGCAAAACCAGTAACAAAAACA